AGATCCTATATAAATTTAACCTTTAATCTATTTTATATTATATAGAATTATAGTATTAGTAATAAAAAAAAGTTTTCTAAAATGCAACTTTATAGCTATTTATAAATTAGCTAAATAATATATTAATTATATTAGCTATTTAAATGATTTCAGTTTGATGTAAAAAAGATTTCTAATATGATACAATATATATTAGTAATAAAGGCTGAGAAAGTTTTAAAGTTTAAACTATTGATATATATTTTTCACACTAAATATAAGAATAGAACTTACAAAGTGACTATATAGTCACTTATTATAAGTAACATTCTTAATATTATTTAATTCTTTATATAAAAGATTTAAACTATCTATACTTTTGAAGACTTTTAAGAGAAGATGATAATATGTAAAAACTAGTTTTGATAATATTTCAAATATACTATTATTTTTAACTTTATTAAATGAATTAATCTTTGCTAGTAGTATTGACTTTAAGGTCTTTAGCAGTATTTATAGAATAAAAGTGGTATAATAGATAACTATAGCAGAAATAAAAATAAAGACTTATTTAAGTATAATTTTATATATTATAAATAATATTCTATAGAGAACTAGGTCAAGTTTATCTGCAATATCAAGAGATCTTCTCTCAGAATAAAAGACTCTATAAGAAATATTAGTATAATTAATAGTAGATTTATTCTATTTCTGCTTAAATCTAAAAGCTAGGATGAGCTCAAATATTATAATATTAAGTCTAATTATAACTATATATATATAGTTTTTATAACTATTATATAGTTACAGTCAAAATATATTATTACAAAAATATAATAGTAAGTTAAAATAATAGAGATAACTGCAATATTTATTATGACATTATATTTATCTAAGATATGCTTTCTCTGCTTCAACTCTTAGTATTACAGCTATTATAGTCTGTATCTATTAAACTTTATTTTCTATATTTTTCTTTTAGAAGATTTTATATCTATGCACTCTTGCTGTAATGATCACAATTTAAGATTATAGCAAAAGTCTAAGTAATTGAGATTCAAACTATGCTTTCTTAAACAAGATGATATATACTTTTTTTATGCTTGTATAATAAATTAACAGAATTTTCAAAGTCTGTGGAGATCATTATTTGAACTCTGCCTTAGTTTCAAATTCTACAGAAAGATATTCACTTTTAAAATTAAATTAGTTTAGTTTTAAAAAGACTTCACTTCTAGGTAGTTGCTTTGTTAAATAAATAAGTAGTAAATACTTTTTTATAGCTATTTAAAATATATTCTAAGTAATAAAATAATATAAAATCTTCTCAAATACTTGCTGGCTGATGAGCTGTCAAGTAATACTACAAAGTTGAAGTAGAGAAGAAGTTTCTAAATTTAGAATTTGAAAGAAAAGTAGATATCTCTCTTTTAGATATAAACTACTATAACAATATAGCATTCTACTCTCTACTATCTCTCTACTGACTCTCATAACTCAGAGGCCCCTTTATAATAAGATTACTTGCTGACTTATTAGTTTATAATAATTTATAACTCTACCAATTCTCAATAATATAATTTAGCAAATCTTGTAAACTCAATATAATGCATCTATTTAAAGTTTGCTTTGTATCTAAAACTTATCATAAATGCTACAAAAAGGCATACAGTAGAAAGTAGAACTTAGATAAGAGCTAGTTTACTCAGATTCTTTATATATATTAGAAAATATTTTGAAGTATAATTAAGTCTAATAGTAAGATAGAGCTAATACAATTTCTACTGCTATCACATAAATGCCGCTGTCACACTTACACTAATTTGGATGAATAAAAGTTATATAAATACTACTTTTCATGCTATATTGAGTTAATAAAAAATCTGTAATGAATAAGTTTAAGAGTCATGACTATGTGAATTTTCTTTTATCGCAGAATTGTAAAAAGAGCCCTTATTGTAGAGTCTTAGTATATTGAAGGTTCTGACACTTATACTAGTGCAGAACTTATATAATAATGAAATTATATATAATATTGTTACATAGTGCTACTGGCAATAAGATAATAAAAAAACAGTTATCCTATGCATAAAGTATGCCTCACATAAAATGAAAGATCCATTCTACTTTAGAAAATCTTGAAAGATATACTGTGAAGAAAGTGAAAACTGTCTACAATGTGTTCATTGAGCAGGAGCACTATGATGCACAAAAGATTGAGAATGTGAGTGCTACTTTTTGACATAAATCAGGTCAACTCACTATGTATATAGCCAGACCAGAAGAGTGGAGAAAGATAGGAATGAGAGAATGTTTTTAAGACTCTAGGAAGTATTTGCAAATAAATCAGTGAGACTTTTGTACAGATTGTGTCTGATTCTAATGGTCTCTTAATTTGAAATTGTCAGTCGAGAACTCTGCCTAATCAGAATCTAGCTTTATCAATATTAACTAGAATCTATTATATTTCTTTCAAGAAGCTCTTGCAAAAGAAGAATTCAGTATTTTAGGCTGACAGAATTTATCAAACTCTGATAGAGTCACTAAAGAAGCAGATAGACTATTATTTAGATTTGTTCATGATAAACAAGAAAAGGGAGACTTGAATGATCAAATATCAGTTGATAGTAGAGATACAAATATATCAACTCAAGCTAATATTGAATATGAGTCTATTACAAGTATGTCTGGCATCATCTCGCTACTATCATCTACAACAAAAAGTGTGAATAAAGAGCACACCTATCAAGCTTGCAAAAAGGACACTTCAGGATATCTCAAGTTTGCTCTATTTATGTTAGCTGAATGAGAAAAAATATATAGCATGTCAACTTAGTGATATACTGCAATAGCAGATGACAGAGATGAAGTCATTTCTGATGATATATATTGATAGAAAAGATAAACTAGGATAAATTGCAGTATTAATTATAGTGATAGTTGCCTCAGGGCATCTGAGATTGTATGAATGCACAATCTGTGCATATACCCAGTCATTTATCAAAGATCACCACTGCCTACTCTATATATCTAAAGCAATATAGAAGCAATTGAATTTCAAAAAGCTGAGTCTAAAAGAAGTATTTGTCACTTATCTCTAGAGCCTTAATAAATATATTTATGCTCTTGATCTTGTCAAGTTCTATACAGATTTTGAAATACAGTACAAAAGAAGTATAAGCTAGAAAAGACTGTGTGTGCCTCAACAGCATAGTTCTAGATGCATGCACTAGAGTATTGATAAATAAAAGAGCCCAGCAGTCAATTCATTGATAGATATGAGCAAGCAGATATTGTCAAATATTGCCAAGAAATATTTCTGCCATATATAAAAAAAAAATATAATAAGACTCAGTGATAAAACTCAGAAACCTGAGAGAAGAAGAAAAAGCCATGTCTTCATAATCTACCTTATCAGAAGACTATCTATTGATACTATGATAAATCCACATTTTACATACATGACCAATGTAAGAAGTGATAAGATCCAAAGACAAAGAAGGCTGTCTCATACCTGAAAGAAAAAGATCTCTCTTTGATGGTCTCAGATTTTATATCAGTAGACTATAGCTGGCTTTGCTCACTAGATGACTCTAAATCTGTATGAGTGTACTTTCATGCAGGCAAAAACTGAAAGGAATATTTTACTAATAAGGATATCTGCAAATAAACTGAGATAGTGATAGTCATTGTGAAGAAATTATACCTCAATGATGACCATGTATTTATTTTTGATAATGCAATTACTCATCTTGCTCATGCTCCTAACACACTCTCAGCACACTATATATCTATAAAAAAAACTACTTTTAATTATCATTCAATATCTAGTGTTGATATTTATGACCTTGATGCGAATAGAAAGTCACAGTATGATCATTCTGAGAAGGTTCTGAAGAAAAAGATTAAGATAAAAAATGCAAGTTTTGCTGATAGAATATCTCAATCACTCTACTATTCTGATAACTATGAGAACTGAAAGAAGGCAGGTAAATTCAAGAGCATGGCTGTGCTTCTTGAAGAATAAGGCTACAAGAATATCATTCAACTTTCTGCACAATGCGAAAGTTTCAAATGTCCTTCCAACTTTGATTGCACCTGACCATGCTGTTGCCACTGGCTCCTCTATTATGAGCCTGACTTCATCAACATTGAAAGTATTCTCGAGAGCACAATTAAGGCTACTGAATTTCAGATTGTCTTTCTTCCAAAATTCTATTGTGAGCTCAACTTTATTGAGCAATGTTGGAGGGCTGCAAAGCAGAGGTACAGAAAATATCCTATGTCATCATTAGAAAGTGATCTAGATTGAAACTGTGCTTCTGCATTTGAGTTCATTTCACTTAAATTGATATGCCAGTGTATCAAGTTGAAAAGTATCTATTTAACTTAAGCTCTCGCTAATATCAATTCTTTGGTCAAATAGATTCTATACTTGCTCATATTGATTCATAAATGTCTACCGAAGAGGACTCAATGGCAAACAGGCTGCTTGAGCTATCAAATGATACCATGATCATCAGGTTCTCTCTAACAGTATTCTTAATGAGCTTGAACTCAATGGTATAGGCCCTTAATTCTGATTCTTCATATATGAGTAAAGTTATATACATTAGACTTCATCCTAGGCATACTAGCTATTTTGTTCAGTCACTACTTTCCTCACTGTATAATTTCTTCTCTGTACTTATATCTGATTGTTATTTGACTTATCCTTGCATGCATATGATAGTTACAGTATGACTGACTAGCACTGAGAGTAGTAGAATTTGTGCTGGCTCTATCTTAAAAAAACAAGTAACATGACTAAGTCAGAATAAGCTGATATTATATTCATAGAGATTACCTAGTGGCCTTCTATTATTCTCTGCTATTTTTCTATAAATAGACTTTCTAGCCTTGCACAAGCTTGCAGACTGCCAAAATGCAAGTAGTCCTCATCTATAGAATATATAGCCAATGCTGGCCCAGCTGAAGATCTTTCAAATGTACAAGATCTGTTGCCAAATATATGCAACTTCAAAGTTATACACATTTTGTTCTTTCCTGCATATTGCATACACCTACATAGACTCAAAGTGAAGCCATTTTAATTTTTATACATTTCACAGCATGTGGTTATCATACGAAGGCCTTGAAATCCAAAGAATAAACAATGATATCCATAGACTAGCAAGTTGTTACAAACACAACTCAAGTATGTACTATTAGAATAAACACAATCGTCTATGGCGCGGCTCACTGAGCACTAAAAGGCCTTAGTTTTTTCCCGCAAAGATCTTCTTGATCGCGTCAGTAGAGTACGACTTGGGTCGCTCGAGAGCTACGGACATGATATATCAGTGTCAAGTAGGAACGAGACCAAGGTGAAGACATACGGGCACCGAGAGCACGATCCCAAATGAGTTGAGCGGCGACACCGAATGCACGAGAGACACCGAAAAGAACAGTGTAGAAGTTCATCTGATCAAGACCATAGTGAGTCAAGAGAACACCAGAGTGAGCGTCGACATTGGGCCAGGGGTTCTTGGCCTTGCCAGCCTAGATAAACATGTTAAAACCAACAAAACCAACCAAAATAGATGAAAGCAGCGCACCTCCAGCAAGATACCAGGAACAATGTTGAACACTTGAGCTACGAGCTTGAAGAGAGGATCATTGGGCAAGTGCTTCAATGCGAACTCGCGCTGAGCAGAGTATCGAGGATCGGTCTTCCTCAAGACGGCATGACCGTATCCAGGGACGACCTGACCATTCTTGAGAGTAGACCAGACGTACTCCTTGACAGCCTCGTCAGTTGCGTTCTCGCCGATCTTGGACTGCATCTTGCGCAACCAGAGGAGGACTTCTTGGTTAGCAAGACCGTGCAAGGGGCCGGCGAGACCGTTCAAGGAGGCAGCAAATGCGAGGAAGGGGTCAGAGAGGGCAGAGCCGACGAGTTTACCAGCGTGAGCAGAGACATTGCCTCCCTCGTGGTCACTAACAACGGACATAAGTGCGATTGTACGAGGACAGGTGGAAGCGCACGCACCTGTGAATGGTGATGTAGAGACGGAGGAGCTCGACAAAGTCGTTCTTCTCAGCGAAGCCAAGAAGGTTGGCCATGTTCCAGGAGTAGTCCTTTGTGGGGTCGATGGCGGGGACCTTGCCCTGGCCGTAAACATTGCGGTAAATACGACCAGCAATGTTGGGCAATTTTGCAATCCTAAAGAGTCGAGGTTAATGTATGCTTGCAGGATTGGAGGAAAAGACGCACAAGTCCATGCAGTCCTCGAAGGCAGGACCCCAGTACTCCTTCTTCGAGACGCCCTGCTGGTATGCCTTTGCAAAGGTGGAATCATGGTTCAACTACGAGCGCCATGATATTAATAACACAGTGGAATGGTACGATAGAAGCGGGGACGCACGGCGGTGACAGCCAGTGAGAACTGACTCATGGGGTGAAGAGTGGGAGGGCACCTGTCAAGGAGCTCTTCGACGAACTCGGGGATGGCAGCACGAGCAGCCCAATCCTTGGACAAAGCCTCGACCTGAGCCTGAGTGGGGACTTCACCAGTGACGAGCAACCAGAAAAGACCCTCCGGGAGAGGTTCTGAGCCACCGGGAGCCTTGGGAAGCAGGTCCTGGATTTCAGGGATGGTCTTTCCACGGAAGCGAATGCCTTCATCTATTCAAATGACGTCAATGAGGACGTGGGGGAGGGTAGTTGGAGTGGACGTACCAGGGTCGAGAACAGAACCGTCCCAAATCAAAGCAGGGAGACCACGCATACCACTATGAATTGGCGTGAGGAGGTGCGGCGAAAGCAAAGGGAGAGGAGATAAAGCGCTCACCCGTAGAGCTGGTCGACGAGGACGGGACCAAAAGATTTTTTGCCATGCTCAGCACGAACGGCTTTGACCTGGGTGTTTTTAGCAAAGTGTGTGTACAAGGCAAGGGAGGGAACGTACATTTTCGATTTCAGCAGGTATGAGCTCAGCAAGACGTTCCTTGAGAGTCTGCTGCTTTGCGGCGGTGGAGGCAAAGCGGGCAGAGCGAGCCAGGGCGGAAGAACGGGACTAGATGGTGGTTAGCACAATGAGGTGAAGAGGGGAGACGGCGAGCAAACCTGTCTTGCGATTGAGCGGAGGATGGAGGAAGACATGGCGGATGAAAGCTGAAAAGCTGCAATGCTGGCAGACAAAAAGTCGACCGCTGCGACCCCGCCTTATGACGAGAGAAGTCACGTGCAGCGTGTCGGGAGAACACGCGCGCCTGGCACTTCCGCTTCTCGACCGAATAAGCTCACGAGCGCAAATTACTAGTCCTGCATTAGTTGGCCAAAGTCTGCCATGTCCGACGTACGTGCTCTCCTCAAGGCCAAGCGACAAGAGGCCAGAGTCGTCCATCCTCTAGCGTCCTATACCTCCTCGGGTCAGCTGAGGTGCATAGCCTGTGCCACCATCGTCAAGCAGGCTTGGAACGGACATGTGGGCAGCAAATCCCATCGGACAAATGTTGCCCGACTCAGGGAAGAGGAACGCGCCAGGGACGCCCAGGCGAAGCGCAAGGCATCTGACGAGCAAGAGGATCAGCAAGACTTAAAAAAAGCCAGGCTAGAAAGCTCACCTCCTCCTGCGACTGGCTTCCCAACAGATTTCTTCTCTGATCCAACCAAAGCTCCTCCGTTACAAGCCGACATCTTTGAAGACGACGAGTCGGCCGAACACAAACAGCCAGACGTCATAGACCTCGAATGGCAACAATTCCAGCAAGCCGTCCTCAATCCTCCCGAGACACACGAAACCTACGAACGCGCTACGATCATTGCCGAGCCCGTTCCCAATCCTGAGCTTCCAACAGGTTTCCCACCACTCGCCTCTGCCGCGGAACCCGCACCTGAACCAGAGCTAGACGAAGAGGCATTGAGGAGGAAGAGGGAGCAGGACGATCGAGAGATCATCATGGATCGCTTGTTGGAAGAGGAGAGGTTGCAGGAGGAGGCTGATGCAAAGGTGACGATGCTCAAGACCAGGCTAGACATGATCAAGAAGAGGCGCGAAGCAGCCAAGGCCAAAAGAACTTCCTAGCCTATATTCTTCGCTGTATATTACTTTCGGGTACGTAGATCCAATACTATCTTGTACAATATGTCTCAAGCACTCTCCCTTTCCTCGTCCTGCTTCCACCCTACCCACGACAGCCAGTCCACGCCCTGCTTATGGAACATCATCAGCCCCAGTATCACCGGCAGATACCACAAACAATGGTAAAACAACTTTCTCGCTTCCTTTTCCCCCGTGCTCCTCCAAAACGTCCACGCCGCCTGCGTACAAACGACATTCGGCACCAAGCTCGTCAACGCAAACGCCCATGTGGTCAATCCACTCAGGGGTACCAATACCGAACAAATCGGTATCAGCAAGAGAGAATGGCGAAGGGAGACGAGCGCATTTTTTGAAGGAGAGAGCGTAGAGAGCATATGGTACCCTGCTTGAGCATAAGACCCTCGGAGGAGATGCGAGAGCGCGTTGAAATGAGGAAACTGCCAGCTGTAGAGTAGCATGAATAGAGCAAAGGCCGCAAGTGGGTTATCTATCCATGCGAGGTCTATTGGCACATCGCTCAGGAATGAGGGAAGGAACGTATGAATCGGATAGGATGACGACGGAAGTAGGTGGCCACCACAAGCTGTCCAACCCATTAAAGGTGGAATGGCACCAACAACAGCTCCTACCCAAGTATTCACGATAGACGTGCGTTTGAGGTAGGTATATGCCCCGGCATACAATGCAATATTGGCTACTCCTAAGATGGCAGTGACAGGGTTCACCATGGTCCACAGGATAGCAGGTCCAGCTACACCCGTCACCAACGCGAACCCAGCTGCGTGTACGGGACTAATCGCCCTCCTCACCAGTGGCCTGTTTCTTGTCCGCGTCATCTGAGCATCGAGAGGCACTTCTTGAATTTGGTTCAGCGTATTCGCGGAGGCGGAACACAGCGTAGTACCGAGTGCTGTTGCAAGTAGGACAGGAACGGTTGCAGGGAGGGGTGAGAGCGCGACGCCGGACATGGCAGTGAGCACGACGAGAGTGGTTAGTCGAGATTTAGAGAGCTGAGCGTACACCTTCAGGAGACGGCGGGGAGTGAGTGATTCAGTTGGTTTATAGTTTGCGATCGAAGCACTTCCGACCGGTAATGCTTGGGCAATACGTCTCCTGTTAGAGGGTACAGGTAACGGTGTAGGTGCCTTTGAAGGGGTATTCCAGTATCCATTGTGGAAGAAGAACGAGGAGAACGTGAGCGATTTTGGCGAGACCAACGTAGAGTGTGATCGTCTCGCGAGGGGTGCCGCCGTCCGCAGACAGGACTGGCAGACGTACCGGCAAACGGTGTACATCTACATGTATTATTGGTAGAAACCCTCGCTGTGGATAGGCGAACTCACCGATGTGCACGACGTCGAGCGCAAACGGAGCACTCCTGCTTGGCTGGACCGAGCGCTGCACACCCAATATGGCAGTCGGCAAAGACCGGCATGGGCTACGCGGTGCTTGCGTCTGTCTCTTGCTCTTGCTCGCTCTTGCTCTTGCTCACTCTTGCTCACGACCTCCTCCATCTCCTCCTCGTCGTTCCTTCCAACTAGCGACGCTCAGCTCTCGATAAAGGAGCACATCTACCGCTCCCATACCCTACAATCCTAGTCTAATTCTCTTTACCGCTCACAATGCCTGGAACACATTTACTCCCACCCAACCTTCTCAAACTCTTCGCTCCTCGTCCCCCACTCCCCTACACTCGTCCACTTGACAGGGACATCGACCGCGTCAGGCCTAAAAATATCGAGGGCGTAGGCCAGTTGCTCGCCCGTATGCGTGAAGACAAGACTCAGGGGATGCTCAGCACCGGTGAAAGTGAAGGAATGGAAGAAGGCGAAGACCCTGGCTTCACTCACGCTGAAGAGACAAAGAGGGCGATCAGGAGAGAAGAGAGGCTGAGGAAAAGGCAGGAAGAATTCAAGGCTGCAAAAGAAACTTGTGCGTGTCATTGAACATCTATCTTTTCTTCTTGACTAACTCTGCTACAGACAAGCCTGCTGACGATCCTGAAGCCGTCGGCGATCCATACAAGACTCTTTTCATTTCACGACTAGTGCGTCATCTCTCACTTGTTTGCCGTACTGTACTCACCTCCTTCCGCAGCACAAATCAGCCACCGAAAACGATCTCCGACGTGAATTCGAAGGCTTCGGCAGCATCGAACGCGTGCGCATCGTTCGCGACAAAAAGGGCAGATCCAAAGGTTACGCATTTATCGTTTTTGAACGTGAACGCGACATGAAAGGTAATACCCTACTTCCCTGTCCCCCTCACTAACCCATCGCTAACAACAGGACGCACGCCATATCTTCTTGTGGTTTGTATCCATTTTCTTTTTTTCCCTTCTATCCATGCCTTGCCTCTTTTCTAGCGGCTTACAAGGAAAGCGATCGCTTACATATCATGGGCAAACGTGTCCTCGTCGACGTCGAACGTGGCCGTACCGTAAGAGGTTGGAAACCAAGGCGTCTCGGTGGCGGTCTCGGCGGTCGTCCTAAACCTGAACCTCCCCTTCCACCTTTCGTCGGTGCAGTTCCCCCACGTGGCGGCGGCGGCGACAGAGGCGGGGGATTCCGTGGAGGAGGAGGGTTCCGTGGTGGCGATAGAGGCGGATTCCGTGGCGGTAGAGGTGGTGGGTTCAGAGGGGGTGACAGAGGCGGGTTCGGTGGCGGCTTCCGTGGTGGCGACAGAGATGGCTTTGGCGGTGGACGAGGTGGGTTCAGGTACGTCCCTCCATCCAACACCCGCAATCACACCACTCAACGTACCTACAGAGGTGGCCGAGGTGGTGGAATCGGATATCAAGGCGGCGGCTTCAGCGATCACGGCGCCAACGGCTTTGGTGGCGGAGCTCCAAGCGGTCCTGGCTACGGCCCACCTGGTGGAGGATTCGGAGGTCCCCCCGGCCCTGGTGGTCCTCCTGGTGGGTATGGCGGTGGTCCCCCTGGTGGAGGGTACGGAGGAGGGTATCGAGGAGACCTCAAACGTGAAGGCCCAGGCATGTATGATGACCGAGACGCGAAGCGTCCGAGGTATTAGGCAGGCAGGTGGTCAAGGATTTGGACACGAACGACCCATGTTTTGGGTGTGTAAGTGACCAAGGTTGTGATTCCCTTTTTCTTTCCATGGTTCGCATTTTTTCTTCACTCGCGTTGGTTTGTTCTTTTTTTCTTTTATTTTGCTGCTCTGGCTCCTCACCGTCGGCTTGCCCCCAACTCTCCTGTTGTCTCATCTATCCATTATGCGTAAGTATTAGGCTGGTGTCTCCGTACGTGTATGCTTCGACAGGTAATGTACAAAGGCAAGTATAACATGACCCTCTGCCCTTCCGAGTGCCCTGACCCTCATACATCTGTCATACCTTGTTGAATTCAAAATGTACCATTGAGTTGTCTCTTGGCTTTGACGAGTGACCCGACCGGACATTCAATTCTCCTGCAGCCGTTTCTGGCGGACTCGCAGGAAGTAGTGCTTGCAGACCATATGGTGCACGGAGATTGAATCTTCAACCTGGCTAGCAGTGTCTGTTGCGACATTGAGATACAAGCTGAAAACCCAACGTGTGGATGTTGGATAACAACGCCACAATCTTCTTCGCCTCTTCATCACAACTGCTGACATGGTTTCCCAAAATCTTGAGCGTGAAGATATCGGTCCCTAGTTGTCAGCGACAGATCACTGACAAGTGTCCAACTGCATCAGACTGATTCACGTTTGGGTTTGATGACCACTGGCACTGCACGAGATTGGAGGCTCGAGTTGGACGAGTCACGATGCCTGGTGGATACAAAGACAACCAGTTAGACTCTCATTGCGGCGCCGAAATGAAGGGATATGAAAATGCTATTACGAGTTTGCGCGGTGGTAGTATGATACAGGTGAGAAATCTCCAAAAGCAACGTAAAAGTACAAACTGTAATAGTAAAGCGGCGATACCAGTACAGGTACCACTAGCGGTACACCAGAGATTGGAATTAACGGCGACTTGACCATCCAAGATGTAAGACGTTCATCAAACAGGAAAAGGAAGTTGACGGGACAACGATGTGAAGCAGAACAACAATAGAGATGACGACTATCCCATGAGCTGCGTGACATCGTCTGGCGGGTACTTGGTCTGTGAAAACGTCAACAGCCTGACGCCGGCAGATGCAGCAGTACAGAAACAAACAATGAGCTTCTTTGTCGATTTAGCATGAGAGCAAGATGCGGGCATGACATACCGTTTGAGAGACTGGATGTATTTTCGGCTGACTTCGTCGTTCAAGACGTGGGCGACTTGGTCTGCAGAAATTTTTTCGCGTGCCGAACGCTCATGGATACTGTGAAATACAAATTCCGACCAGGAATGTTAGCATGGGAGTCAGAAGAGGCTAGAAGGCCGCGCCTAGACACCGGAGCTTAAAGAACGTACCCAACCATCGTCACCCCAATAGGCCAGGGCGCGTTTCCGATGGACAGACGGAGGTAGGAATCGTTCGCTTTTTGGTACTGCCGTTTCTGCATGTAATGCACGATTTCGGATACTCGTAGAAGCATGTCCGGAGGTAGTGACTGATCGCAACAAGCAACAAAATCAGCTAGCTGGACTGAAGAAGACCATCGGAAGTTGACGTAAGGATACGTACCCTTGAACGGAGCAGTTTGAACAAGGGCTTTAGATATTCCGCCGATTGACGTTGGGTGGCTGCTGCCAATTTGCCCTGAGTAGTGCGCTTGACCGATTCTGTACATGGCAGTGTTTAAGTGTTTTCTGTTGCTTGGCATCATGTCAATGACAGTTTCCTAATACGTACCTGGTCGATTGTCCATCCACTCCTCCCATTCCTTGAGTGTTCGTTTGAGGGCATAGTAGATGATGGGATACAACTTGTCCGGGTCTGTCTTGACGAGTTCGAGGTCGAGGATTTCTGTACCGTTATCTCTGCTCTCCTTGCCCTCTTTCTTCCGCGCCTTCTCGACATCCTCTTCCTTGTGAACACGACTCTCGACATCTTCGAGCGCCTTTTTGAAGTCGTTCTGGCCGCCGTGTCGTTCATGTTCCTTCTCCTCGATAAGCTCAAGTGCACGAAGACGTAACCGACGGTCTTTGTCGGATTCACCGAAAAGGCATATAGGCTGGCCCTTGGCTCGTAGACGACGAACGGCCTCCTCATTAGAAATGTTGAACGATGTCTGAGACGAAGGCTCCGGTGATGCAGTGTCCCTCAGACCGTCTGGACGAGGAGACATGGAAGATGAATGCCTACGAGCCTGCTCTCCATTGACAAGTCAGCTCAAAAATGTCCATAGCGAAATACGAATAGATACACACTTTTGCTCTCCGAGTGGCTTTCTCTGCCTCTTCGCGCTCCTTGCGTTCTCTCTCTTCCCTCTGCTTTGCCTCCTTCTCCTCCTTGTCCTTGCGTTCCTGTTCCTCCTTCAGCCGCTCAATGTCCCCTCGCCGCATATATTTCGTCGGTCGACCAGCTGCCGGTGGACCATCAAGGGCCTTGCGTTTGTTGGCAATCTCTGCCTTGAGAGCGTCCATGGCGAGACAATGATATTAAGTCTGAAGATATCTAAAGAAATTGAATGTTAGTTGAGAGTCCAAGGGAGAGACGGGACTGGTCTCCAGACGCCCAGAGTCGGGCTGGGTGTGATCCGCCAATTGCCGAGGGTTGTTGGCGTCGGTGGTCTCTGAGCCTCTCTCCTTTTCTCTTTACGCCTCTCTCCTTTTCTCTTTACGCCTCTCTCGTCCACCATGTCTGAAGCCTCTAGGTACCCTTCCGCCTTTTAGCTTTCCACTCTTCCTACTTACCAAATTATTCTTAGCAAATACGTCCTCCAGACCGCTGGCTTCGACGGTCAGTTTTGAATAATACCTCAGTTCTCTACCGTATTGACAATTGCGTCGTTTCAGCCCGGTTCCCCAACGCCAACCAGACGAGGCACTGGTGCGTATTCGTCTTCTCTAGACAGGTTGCAGCCGTCTAAGTCACCAGCAGCTTCCAGAACTATACTGATTACTTCAAGTGCATCGCCGCCAAGGGCGAGGACTTTGCTCCATGCAAGCAGTTCAAGCGTGCATACCACTCTCTCTGCCCCAGTGCGTTATGTATGAACATCTTGCAGTTTGTTTCTCTACTAATGTATGGCATCGCGCCCGCCTTCCATTCTATCTAGATGAATGGGTTAGTATCTCCTTTTGATTCCTACCACCACATGCATCACTCACTGCCACCATCTTACAGATCACCAAGTGGGACGACCAGCGGGAGAATGGTACTTTCCCCGCCTCCTTGGAGCCTTGAAATATGTTGTCTACAAATTCTGTAACATCCGGACTACCCAATCAAGTGCACTGCATTAGACATTGCCTATATTGCGTACTTGTGTGCCCTTGAGACCTGAATTACATGCCTCAACTCTTCGGTGTTGTCCCATCATAGAGAGCGGTAATTGACGGCTTCGCGACGCCATTGTCTGTACATACGGATAGTCCGATAGTTGTCCCGCCCCGAAGATTCCTGCTTGGGCAGAACCTTTCGTGTCTTGAGGTATCTCGTTAGGCCTAGCACTGTATCGCTTCGCTCCTCGCGGTATCTTAATTTGAATACAGGTATATTGTACAGCGATACAGCTACATGATATACAACCACTTCACACAATCCCTATCTGCCCTTCTTGCCCTTTTTCTTCCCAGCACCCCCGCCCCCTGCAGCACAAGAACCTGCGGACGATGCCGCCGCATGTCCGAGCTCATTAATATGTGCAAATAGTTTCGTTTTACTCTCGAACTGCTCTCCGCAAACATTACATACCTAAGAGAACATGTGTATCAGCAAAGCGGCACGGATCTCGATGTCAGTGTACATACCGACTTCAGAGTGGCAGCCACGCCTTGCGATTTCCTCGCAGCCTCCTTCGCTCGCCTTTTCTCTCGCTTCGAGAGCTCAGGCTTGACCGCTTGATCGTGATCACTGCCATCAATAGTTGCTACCGTTGCAGTGGGAACTACTTCAGCTTCAAGTCCCGGTGACTGACGACTGACGCTCTCAGAGACAAGGCCGTCATCGGGAAGACCAACATCGAGATCGTTTCTACGACCTCTGGCCCGACGTTCCGTCCGCCGCGGCGGGCTGGGTGAAGGACCACGAGACTTCGGCTTCCCAGCTTTCTTCTTATGTTTAGATCGCGAGGAAAGCTCTTCCCCTTCTGCGTCTTCTGGCTGAGCGTCCAGGTCGGGGCTTACAGTCATCCGTGATTCCAACGGCGGAGGGGCAGGAGAAGAGGGAGGCCCATCTAGATCAATCTTCCCTTCTTGCTCTCCGATGGTTGGTTCTTCGTCCTCCTCTGCGCTCTCGTCACCTTTCAGGGAATCCAAACCCAAAGCGTCGTTCTCTTCCAACATCTCCCTCTTCAACCGCTCGACCGCCTGTAAGTGTTTCCTACTCCGTTCGTGGCTATCCCAAGCCGCTTCACTTCGGAATATTTTCCCACATGCAACGCACTCCCATTCCTCTGAATCTTCTTCGCCTTCAGCAGCAGCCCACTCCAGATCAGCATCATCCACCCCTAGTCTGTCAGCTTTTTGCCAATCCTGCTCGACAAAGACGGGTGTGCCAGTCGTTGTAGCAGCACTGGCGGGTCTTTTAGGTGGTGTAACAGATGGGGTAAGTTTCTTGGGCGCGGCAATGGCGGCTGCGGCGGCAGATTGTCGGGAGAGGTGTGATTTGTATCGCGGATCGCGTTTGCGAACGAACGAGACTAGTGCCTTGATTACGATTGTGGTTCAATGAGGGGCCGGAGCGTTTCGATACAAGCTACAAAACTTACCCTGATAGTTTCATTGTACTCCTTTCGAGCGTCATCGCGAGCTTTCTTGTTGTCCTTCTCCATCATCCTGTCAAACCATGAAGATGATGCGATCATAAACATTACCAATGGAGACACTGCGTACCTGCGTATCCGACGTTCCGGAGCTTCGTTTGCGTGCCATTGTTCTACCCAAGAGAAATCTTTCGCTGTGACAAAGTGTAGCCAATAGTTGTAGAACGTCCGAGCAGCTTGATCAGATTCATTCTTCGACGCCTCAGTCCACCGCCAGGTGGAGTAACCAAAAGACGGCAGAACGATGGGTTCACTCTGGAACTGTGACTCATCATGAGCTAACCGATCAAAGAGGTTTCGGTAAATTGTGAAGAAACTCTGAGAAGGCACTCGTCAGCTTCAGCATTCATGTAACAATGGGTAGGAAACCCACATTAGGCTCGTCGTCATAGCCAGAGTATATGGATGTATCAAAGAATTGGCTTAGATGTCTGACGGTAAGCCCACGATTCTGAGCGCGAGGGGCAGGTGCCCCCTTCCTGATCTCCTCGAAGACTGTTTCCGCGTCGGGCTCTGGGACAAGAGATGCCCTGTGACTATCATACCAAGCTCGTTCCTACTTGTGAAGAGGGGTAAGATGAGACAACGTTCATCCTCATATAAGCAAGACACCTACTTGCTCGTCGCTCAGAACCTAGAAATATACCCAACAACGTGAGCTTGGATCAGGGCGAGTATCAAGGCTCAAGCGCACCTCGTATGCTTGCTGAAGCGCAGAAAATTTCTTTGTTGCCTCCTCTATGTTGTCGTAATTTTTGTCTGGATGGTGAATAAGAGCAAGTCTACGAAAGGATCTCTGTCGAAGACTAAGCAGACCGCGGATGGAAGAGATCAAAGTACTTCATACCCTTATCTCATCCGCTGTAGCAGATTCTTCCACTTCAAGTAGAGCATAGTAGTCTGGAGGACCAGCCTCTCCGCCACCATGAGCCCTTGATTCCCCAGCCCCCATATCCGTTGTTGTGGATGGCTTTGAAGGATGGTGTGCACTCAGCAAGCCGCGACTCTGTGAAAAGAGATTAGATTAGATTTTAGCCGACCAACTCGCGATCGTTCAAATATCCTCCCCAGCAGACACCCATCGCTGTCTGCCAGTCTTCAATTACCTCACTTGTTTCAAAACATAAGCCAAAATGTCGTTGTTTGGCTCATCTTTTAGCGGCTCTTCCGCTTCCCCTGCAGGTGTGTAACTGGTTGTTTGAGTTCGCGGTGCGGTTTCTTATGTTGCGATCATGGCAGACATGGCTGCCCGCAAGGAAGCTATTATGGCCTCCGTCAGGGGTGAAATAGCTTTGGCCAATGCTCAGGAGCTCATGAATGTACGTGCTCTGCTATACGACTGGCTTTTTCGGTTCTGAATCTCCAGACAGAAAACCAATGAAAAGTGCTTCGAGAAGTGCGTCACAAAACCCTCGACGTCCTTGTCAAGCTCAGAACAGGTGTGTTTCCACCTTGGCAATGTGTCACTTCCTTTCGATAATGTGTTTGTATAGACATGCTTGTCGCGCTGTCTTGATAGGTATATGGAAGCTTGTGAGTCAACAGTTTCATACTTTCATCCCGTGCCGCTCATCAACTCTATTGCCGTCATAGTCAACATCGTAAGCAAGGCCTACACTGCACGGATCAGTAAGGAGGCTCCGCTTTTAGCTAGCCAGTAAAAGAGCTTTTTGGCGTACTCTCTCCGAATAGACCCACTTAATAGACTTACGGTGACACTCTCTGGAGTGCTTGAATGAGTGCCAGGGCCAAGCTGCATAAAATCAAGAGCTTTCTCCTGTCATGTTCCTGAATGCCTGCTAATGTTATACTTTTATGTACAAGGAGTATGATAGTAAATAAAGGCAGTCCGTGGTAATTCTAGATATTACATTGTCGGCCTGTGTATGTCGGTCAATATACACCCTCCACAGAGGACAAAATCCAAGAAATGCGAAGTAGAATAAGATAATAAAAACACTCCTACTGGAGTTCTGAAGGACGCCCCATCGCAGAGTAATCGTAACTGAGCCGATGTGCGGCAGGGTTCGCTGGTGAAGCCATGCCGACGCGCATGTTCGACATGTTGCCTGGTGCAGGACTGTTCCAGTAGCCCGGCGGGTTATAAGGTGTTGTGAGTAATGGCGGTGAAGGGGTATTATACGACGAGTGTGTGGTGGAGCCAGACGAGTGTGGAGGCTCGTCGCCACCGTAACTCACACGTCGCGCGACATTACGAGAGAGAGACATGTTATGGTAATTGGCAGTAAGGTCGAGTTCCGGAGGACGGAAGCGGTTGGGTTTCGGTGAGTCCATGCTGTAATCGGAGTACATACTCTCCGGTATTGGCACGGCTGACTGCATGGAAGGAGGGTAGACGGGCATACTTGGAGATCGGTTAGTGGGGTCAACAATACGAGGGTTGACTGCGGGCGCTGAGAAACGTCGCCGTTGATCATAACCGTAGTATTCAGTGCCGCTAGTCGGGTGCATTTCTGGAGCTGGTTGTACGTAACCGACAATCTGGGGCGATTGTAGACCAGGAGAAGGAGAGGAATGCGATGCGTACGATGGGTGATGGAGAGCAATTTCACTTCCGGAGGTATTATTGTTGATGGTACGAAGGAGATGCGCGAGTTGGACTGCGGTTCCAACCAGATCGTGGCGTAGGATTTTGGTAGCCTGCAGGCCCTCTGTCCAATCACCACATCGTCTCCAGCCTCTCAACGGGACACTATTCATACCCTCAGCAACGGTCTCCATGTAGAATACTGGTGGTCGATCAAGGAAAAAAGAGGCCAGGCCAGTCCCTGGCGCTGCGTTTGTGAATTTCGTCTCAACGATCGAATCAAAGGATATCTCCATCTTGAATCCGAAACCAGATGAATGGATGAACCACGTCAGGCACCGTTTCGTTTCACAGACGTATGCGACTAGATCGTGTCGACTGACAGTCGTAGCGATCCGTTTCCACGTCCCAATCGACAGGTCCGTACATGGAATGATGGTGACAGCTGATGGGTAGGATAGAGAGGGATTAATCACCTCGGTTTGGAAGGTTCGCAGGTCGAAGATGCTTACGTTCGTCCTCGTGAATGAGGTTGTGGAGGCTAGCGTCAAACCCCGCACAAAGCTCCGGCGGAGTATCAGGCGGCATCTCCACCAATCCACCTCGTCCTTTGTTCTTGCCGTCTTGAAGCTTCGCTTTAGCGCGTCTGGAGCAGAGTTCAGAAGCCGACGTGCACAGTAAAAGCAGGAGACTCGCCTGTTCTGGAACCAGATCTGTGTCTGCCGCTCTTGCATACCCAGACTCTCGCTGATTTCCTTTCTTCTAGCCGCCGTTGGACTACGGTCCATCGAAAAGAATCTCTCCAAGTGAATTAGCTGTTCTGGTGTCACCCTTGAACGCTTTCGCTTCTCCTTTGAATCAGTGTTGCTCCCCTTCCCACTTGCGACAGAGGCTGAACGCGTCCGTTGAGGACCTGACGCCGGCTCCTTAGGTGCATCCTCCGTGTCCTTGGTCGTAGGTTCAGAAGATGGTGCGCGGGACTCGTCGGGAGTTAATGGAGAAGTCGTAGAACTGGGAGAGGAAAGAGAAGATGAAGCCTGATCGTCATCATCGATAGGCTCACGCGTTCTAGCTGCGCCAAGATCAATAAATGTTTATGAAGCAATATACAAGAGTAAGACTTGCCACCCATAGACTTAGATGGTTCCTGCAGGATGGCCAGGGTTGGAACAATTTAAGCAATAAGGAAGAGGAGTACTGGAGAGAGTACACCAATATCACTATTAAGTAAATCAGGTAAGCGGCACTGCGATGATCGGTGAGAAGTCAAAATCAAGGAAAGGGAGCCCGTTGGAAGGCTGATGCACTACCGCCCACGATTGCACTTGCAAGCACGTTGACTCCCGACGAACATGCATGACAATGAGGGCGAACTCACCAGGGGAAAGGCAAGCAGTACCTTAATCGTCACTGCTAATATTGATAGGGACGGAAGATGGTAGAGGAGGGTCGGGGAAGAGAACCTTGATGCCATGGTGGAAGTAGTTAAACGCTTCAGAGGTTGCTGTGATAAGACGCTGTGAAAAGATTTTGCCGTCCGTTTCAGAACTGGACCTAGCGCGAAGCTTCTTTCCAGGGACGTCAGAGCAGATCAGGTTGCACCGTGCACAGAACGGGCAAGATCACAAAGAGTCCGCAAATGATCACACCTTTCCACGGTCTCCATGTTTCCTGCTAAACTATATCCGGATCGTCTACTTTCAGATCGCAAAGATGATGGCGCATGTCATCCAGTGCAAACGGTTGGTTCGCGAGGTGATGCTTCGGACATTTCACATTCCTGCCACAAAGATCAACCCCATGACAATTAGACGGCACCACTGAGCCTCACCAAGACCTGTCCTTGTTTGCCTCGTCCGCCCCTCAGAGCGCACTCGATACTCTCTATTACAAGCAACTTGAGCTGTGCGTTGCCTCGGAAGCTCTGCCTAGTCATGCGTGACCAACAGTTGCGCCCTCGGGAGTTTTTCTCTGTTCGGCGCGGAGTGTAACGGCTGAAGATGGCAACTCTCCTTTGTTGTGGACACAAATGATGGATGTGATTGTGTATGATTCGCCACCTACCTTTCGGCTCATCGACATGCGGGCGCCGCCTTTTCGATGTTGCGCTCAATGTACAGCGTCCCCGGAGCAGCGAGAGGCTACATCGAGCACCCTTCTTTCGCCTGCTCAGAGCTCGGATCCGGAGGTTGCTACAGAGCTTCGCACAGCAACGTTGATGGTAGAAAACTCGGATGGAATGCGTAGACTCGCATCTTTCCCATCGATCTCATCAAAGCCCCTCTCGCCATTTGCAAACTCTTCAGCCAGAGCAGCCTTGACTCTCGTGGCTCTCACCGTCTTTGTCAGGTTTGGACATATGCATTGCTCCTCCTCACCGTCAGCTTCTGAATGTTTCACCACTGTACTTGGCATGTCCTCTGGTAACAAATGCGTATCCAAACTCACTGCGATCTTTCTTTCTTTTTCATGTTTCCTTGCCGACTTTCGGGGGCCCTTTCCTCCCCGTCACCATCGGAAGCCCATTGCACTCCGCCGACAGCCCTATCGAGGGCGAGCCTGCCCCATGTGCCATCAGAATCCCGCTCGCGCCGGCTTCCCGTTTGCGCTAGATACACCTTCAGGTTGTACGTACTCGCGTAGAGGTGACGTGTTGCATAAACAAAGCTCGAGAACCTACCATGTCCTGCGAACAAAAAAAGCCTATACACGATCGATTGACAGGGAAAAATGGCAGGCACAACAGCTCTCTTATCATGACTGAAACAAGCAGAAGGGTGATGTTGTGTTTAATTGGTGCCGAAATCTTCAGGATGTGTGGGAAGGGTGCTGACTCGGTCCAAGATGTCGAACTGAACAAAGCACCTGTTGAGATCCTTCGGAAGAAGCATCCGAAGCCTCCCTGATGCGTCCTGAAGGCGGTGCGTCTAGTTGATAGGGTTCGCGGTGGATCGGATGACACCGTAAAAGTCTCCCAGCTGTGTTCCCTGTGCTTCTTGAATGATCATCAACATCAGCCAATGGCGTACCGACGTCGGACCGCAACTAGATATGGGCCCTACTTGCTAGTCGATTGAGTGACTGTGGTGAACGACAGTATAAACATTTCCAATTGCTGCTACAAAGCACATTAAAACCATAAACCTTAGAGGCACTCTTAGAAGGCGTGTAATCCACCTACTCATGTAACAGTTGGCTGTGCCGTCCATGTGTTGCAGATCGAGAATGCTCAGAAAGGCTAACCTCTAGGTTAATCGCGATCGTCTGATTGCTAGGAAACATCACATAAAACCTGGCCAAGGCGGAGCCAGCCCAACGTTCAAGACAGTTGGTCACCACACGTCTTCGCTGCCATCATTTCATTCATCAGTCGTTCAAATCTACATCTCACAGTACCATGGGGCTAGTTGCGTGGCTCCAACGGCTAGCAGTATCTGGAAGGTCGGTCTTGAATGCCCGAAGCTCGACGGCGGACTCTACCAACGCGCACTTCATTGACAATTGCTCGTCTGCGATTTTCATTCGTCTTCTTCCTACCAAGCGCAAGATTCAACGCGGGCGCGAAGATGTAACATGGTGACTCACTGTAGCCGAGTCCTGGGCGGCTGGCAGCGACGAATATGTGTGGATAGAGACGGCCAGACGTGAAGCGCACGCGTCCACGAACCACGCCTATCGGATACATTGATGCATCTTGAACTTGACGGAGACGAATGGAAAGGGGTCATCACCGTCAGCTGGTGCTTCCCTGTCAGCTGCGATCAGACAAAACAAAACAATGCGGGTCAAGATAAATGAAAAACTCACTCAATAGGCCCAAGAACTCTTAGTCCTCGGACATGCGTATCTTTGCCGTTCATGTGGTTAGCCAGGATAACGACCTGGATCACGTATGCATGTACAGGTTTGCTGCCAAATATCGTAAGACATGTCAGGAATAACATTTCATCCTGTACTTACAAACCTTCGCCATCCTCATTGGGTTCAGTCGAAACGTCGAAGGTTAGCCAACCATCTGGCTTCTCCAGCGCAAACAGTCTAACGTCTTGCAGATCACTTGGGCCTGTTCCTGCTCGGACTGAGAGTGTGCAAGGGGTGTAGGAATCGTCAAGAGCGAAGCTGAGGAATATGCTTAGTTTCTAACGATAGCATTATTAGTTCCGGGCGATAAGTTTAAGATACGATCCGCACTTGAACAGCTACTTTGCGTGGAAATTCAATGGTAATGAAATGGGGTTGTGGCCCGTCTGAACTGCAAAATCATTCGGGTCAAGGTTGTGGAGGAGGATTGGCGTCGGCGCGATGCTTACTGCCAGAATGTATCCGGATCATCATCTCGAAGACACTCGGGACCAAAACCAAACTTGTACGACGAAACCGACCACTTTGCAAGGTAACCAATGTCTGGCCATGGAAGTACAGGCGCTTTCCGACCTATCGAGGAGATGAAGACCCTCTTGTCCGATGTGACTCGGAGGACTGACCTTTATGCAGCGTAGGCGTTCCGTCAGGGGGCAGTTGGGCCACGCCTGGTTGGCCTGCAGCGCTAGCACTAGCCATTTCCAATGTACTGCGTTTGCTAAGGATAGATAGATGAGAAGTTTGTCGGCCCGCCGCAAAAATCGATTCCGGAACAAGAGCGTGAATCTATAGGGGCAGATTCGAAGTCGGTAGCAATATACGGTAGTAAAGACTCGGCCTTTGTAGTTATGGACTAGCCCTAGTGGCAACGTTGGTGGAGGGAAAGATGGTGGCGAGCTTGTCGCTGTACGAGTGCAAGGTGAAGTTGGCCACTTGAACAGCTTGACGAATTTGGAAATGGACCCACAAAGCCTCATGATTTCTTCGGCTCACTGAGCGTCAATGAATATTCCTGCCACAGACTCCCTTTTTTGACTTGACCCACATCTATTTCTTCGCGGGAGGAGAGTACTTTGTGTATGTTTCTACTGCACTTTCATCGCCGGAAGGCCTCTCGCTATGTATTCACATGTTCCTAGAGTCTAAACTATTATGCTGCATATCGAAGATTACCGACGGTATGGCAGGCAGCTGATTCTCGATCGCTTCGGTCTTCCAGGTTTGTCGCTCTTTATCTTGGACTGAATTTGTACCTCACTCTGGACAGGAAAGGCCAGCTGAAGCTTCAGTCAGCTTCAGTCGTTGTTGTCGGTGCTGGTGGTCTTGGCTGCCCTGCCATCCAGTACCTCGCTGCCGCGGGCGTAGGTGAGAAAACTATATGTTCTTCCCTCGCCTTAGCATATTCACCTGTTTGTACAGGACGTATCGGTATCATCGATCATGACGTTGTCGAGCTATCAAATTTGCAGAGACAGATCCTTCATACGCAGGATCGCCTTGGTATGCCTAAAGCTGTCTCCGCAGCAAAGGCAGTTCAACAGTAGGTGTTCGATAATGCTATTGAAATAAATCAGCACACTGGACTTGTTCTCAGGATAAACTCTCGAACTCAAGTTGACGCGATCACTGAGGCCCTTACACCAAGCAACGCGCTTGCGCTCTTGGAACCTTACGATATTATCCTCGATTGTACCGACAACGCTCCAACACGCTATCTGCTTTCCGATACCGCGGTCACTCTCAAGAAACCTCTTGTTAGCGGGGCAGCACAAAAGTATGACGGACAATTATGTGTTTACAACATGGGCGCCGACGGACCCTGCTATCGATGCCTATTTCCTCGTCCAACCGCGCCTGAGTTGAGCGGAGGATGTGAGGAAGTTGGAGTACTAGGCGTTGTCACAGGTATCATTGGAAACCTACAAGCACTGGAAACGATCAAAATTCTCACCGGATTGCATGGTAAGTTCCGCGGTCGTACTAGTGCGTGGGGCCTTGTGATACTTAGCTTCTCTTTGTCAGGTGGGAAGCCTTCGCTTCTTATCTTCTCTGCGCTGTCGACACCTCCGTTCAGAAGCATCAAGCTTCGGTCACGTAGACCCACATGTCCCGCATGTGGCGACGCAGGTGAAAGGATAGGTGAGATTTCAGAGACAGATTATGTTGCGTTCTGTGGTGGTCCAAGGCCAGATTTGGTGTCGCGAGGCTTAGAAAGCGGAAAAGATCCAGATCGTCGCATACATGCTCATGTAAGTCTTCTGGTCGCAGCACGTCTTCTGTGGTCAGCTGAGCACAAACAATTATGTGTTTTACGGAATACTAGGACCTAGACGAACGGCTAAGATCTGGAACCAGAACACGTATAATTGATGTTCGGCCCCCGGTTGAATTCGGCATATGCCACCTGCGCAATTCCATCAGTGCGTTCGTTCGTCCTGCGAAGCTTGAAGTTGATCCTTTTGATTCACCGCTGTCCCTTGTACTCTACTTCAGACATTCCTTTGCCTGAGCTTGTCGCGGATCCTACGAAAGTTGAAGTAGACAATGCTTCCGAAGATGCTGCGACTTACGTCGTCTGTCGCCTCGGCAACGATTCCCAGCTAGCTGTCGACGCACTTCGTGCTGCAGGTATGGGCGGTACCGTCAGAGATCTCATCGGCGGTCTTCGTGCTTGGGCGAGGGAGGTGGACAATGAGTTTCCAGTGTATTAATCCCAACGTAGCTAGAACCTATGTAGCTTTGGAGCCGTATATAGTGTCCCAAGGATCACAAGTTTGCCAGCCTGTAGTAAAAAGAATCTACTTTGATATTTTGACATACATTTCTCAAGCGTTAGAGGCAATGCCACAGCTGTGAGGTTTTCACCGGTGGTTTACGATCAAGTGTGATCGGATGCCAAGGACTACTCACACCAAACCCTAAAGTTCACTAAAAACCAGGCTGGCGTCGCGCCGTAGCTTACGTGTCCATGTTCTCATGTCATTGGAAGATTTGCGACGGTAAAGCGAGGGCGACGTAAGCCACGAGATCGAACAGGAAACTCCGCCGGTTAGAGGAGTTTGTGGATCGCAATATCGGCATCATGTCTCCCAAGCAACGTTGTTACATTTATCTTGAGCTTCCCAAGCTGACGGTAATTGCAAACACGGTTTCGGTGTACATCGAACCTGGGCGGTAATAATTTGTACGGCGGACGCGATGGTTCGCATACCGGACGATACTGAATCCTAAGAGGCCTTTGGATTACGAAGGCTTTGAGGCGCAGTCACGACGGGTACCTTGTCGTGCACGCTCTGCGACACCATCTGCCACAGTGAAGCTAAACGCGTCGGGGAATCGGGGTTCGGGCCTGGAAAAATATACCACGACGATGGATCATGTTATGCTACAAGCACACAAGCCATTAGGCATTATTTCACTCCTTCGTCACCTATTGAGACCTGTCAGCACGTTGTCGCCAGAACACAAATGAGACGAGAGGATACTCACCTGACATCAGGCTGAAGACGAGCTGTAAGCCCCTTCCACTCCCTGAATCTTCTCGTGGTTTGCAAGATTCGCCCTGGACTCATACACAGTTACTACAGGTTCGATCTTTCTCTGCACAAGCCGACATTCATCAGTGCCTTCATTCACATTACGAGTGAGAGGTTGCTTTACCTCGCTCCATTGACCCAAGAAACCGACGTAGTAGATTCGCGTCGTGTCAGCACCTTGTGAGGCGGGGAAGAACAAAGTTATTGAAGTGACATTAGGAAATTTGGCAGGCCTAATCGGCAACATTAACGGAAAGGCAGCTGGAATACTAGCAAGTGACGAACATGACATGATATTCGCCGATATCCCGTCCTTGTGCTACATCAAACTCTTGAGTAGGTTTCAGGTCCGCGATGTCAGAGAAATCAAGTTCCTCGGCATTACTATACTTCAGAGCGCGAGAAAGAAGGGTGTAAGCATGAAGTTGTTTCATACTGTCCTAACGTCTACGTCAACTCACTAGTGCGACTTTAGCAGGGGTATATTCGGACGGTCCTGCCTTCAGAAGCAAAGCACGAGGCTTAACGGCGCCCGTGAAGGGTATTCGAATAATCCTGCAGGTGCAGTAAGGTTGGGAAAACAGCTTGAAAGGGAGGGGAGTGCGTACATTTGATCATCCGCGTCCGACTCCAAATACTATCGACAGTGGGTCAACGCAGCAGAAGACTAGGAGGAAAGAGAATATTCCAATACCACTGATTCGTCAAGGCGTTGATCCCAAGGTTTGATGACCTCTGGTCCATGTCCAGATTCAACATTCAACGCGACGACATTTGGACGGTCAATGCGACTGTAGAGGTTGTCTCTCGGACCAAGGGCCTCTGGAATGCCGTGGTCATGGTCGTGATCGTGGCTTTCATCGTGACAGCCACCATGGTTATGGTTGTGAGCCATGGTGAAATGTTGCACAATGCTCGCGTTGGTGAAAGGATAACAGATGGATTGCAAGTACTGCGACGACGTTCACCCATTTCAATATGTAACAGGCGAATCCTCGAGCATGAAATCGCTTCAGCCACAACAGACAAAGCCGTACAAACACAGCTCTTTATATTCCTTCCAGCGGTCGAATAAGCCTTTTGCGTCCTTGTCCACTTACAAGTCTCTGGCAATCATTTTATACGTGAGTCTTGTTCTTAGTATAATGCTTTTCTGGGATGTTACTCTATGTAATTTGCGTTCGATTGTCCCCGGCCTCATACCAAAGGGGCCGCTCGCCGGCGTGCCCTGGGGCTGAGGATATGAGACAACTATCATATTTCTGAGCCTTCGCTCTTCGTTATTGTGCCAGGCAGTCTTGCTGACGAATTGCTTGTTTGACAGTGCTTTGAATCTCACACCATCTTCAAAGTGATCGTTTGCAGAGAGTATCAGTTGTAGACGCACCGCCTGTATGTTGATTAGCAAATTCAATTATCTTTCGTCACTCGCTCGACTAAGCTCTTCCGAGCCAGTGCATACGTCAACGCGCTCATTGTACCATCTTGAACACCATCTTACTTGAGCTATATACCTACACTCCCTTCTCACCTCATATTGTCCATGTCGTCTCCTGCTGAACATCAATCCGCATCTGAGCCAACATCTTCTGTATCGCCCGCTCAGGCCATCCAGAGCCCATCAGCTCAGCCTGAGAAACCGTCTTTCAGAGTGTACAGGCCCCCGCAAGCATCCACGACTTCACCGCGTGAGCAGCTACTTGTGCTGTGTCATCCTAACGAACTTACGTCTGAAGTGATTCAATCTCACAGGGGAACTTCCTGAGGACTACTTTACACCTAGTGCAGCAGATCTGAAGGCAGCTCAGGCCTCGCTATCTGCACGTACCCAAGCTCTTGTCAATGCACCACTCAGGAACCGGGCGGTGCGTGAGGCGGAGGAGACGGCGAAGAGAGCGAAGTATCCAACAGTGAGCATACTCGATTTGCTCAGTTGAGACTGCGTTATACGATTTCTCCGCTCAGACGACGATCCGTGTACGGTTCCCCGATCGAACACAACTAGAAAAGACATTCCCTTCGACCGACAAGATCAAGTCAGTCTACGCCTTCGTCCGGGAATGCCTGCTAGAGGATGTCAAGCCTATCAAGTTTGTCATATGTATACCTTCGAGCTTCTCAAGCGTTCCAAGTGTCAAATTAACTGCTTCACAGACCAAACGCCTCCCAAACGTGAACTGAGGGTATCAGACCCCAACGTACGCGATTTATCATTGTTCGACTTGCACCTCGCACCGTCGTCAGTCCTACATTTGAAATTTATGGAGGATTCCCTGAATCGTATGTAACGCACACCCCTGAGTCAGATGAGTTTGCTTAATGGTATCCTTGCAGATGTGGATGTACCAGCTCCTCTTGATGCCTCTGTTCTTGCACTTGCAGAGGAACTGCCTATCCCTCCCGATCCAGAATCTACCTCACCCCCAGCCTCATCTTCGTCTACGCCGTCTGCAAGACCGGTTGGGTCATCGTCATCTTCGTCTACTTCATCTGGACCTGTGAAGGTGCCTAAATGGTTGAAGCTAGGACATGGAAGTGAGCTGCACATATCTATGCATCCTTTCGATAACTAACACATCGCTTGCAGAAAAGTAAGGGAGCAGCACGTAGATGGACTATGTCCTGTAGTATCGGATATATGGATACACTGTATATACAACGTGTCTGGCATGACTCCAATCCCTCATTCAGTTGCGTCATGAATGTCCACCGCGCTGTAGCTCAGGGTCAACATATTTCATGCGACCTCGACCTGGAATACAGGGCATCAGCTAGAGTGTCACAGTACTCGTAAGGACTGCAACTCACCTTTGAATCTGACGCCACTCGTAGTTGACTGAGTTGACTCTAACCTTCTTTTCATCCTTTCCAATTCCCGCCTCTTCTCCGCCTCCAAGCGCTCTTTCTCTTCCCTCTCTAACCGGGCATCATACTGCTCCTCCGTTTCTTCCTTGGGTTCGTCATCGGTCTTCTTCTTATCATCAGTCTTCGACGACGGCAATGGAGATTCAGAACGATCACGCTTCTTATGTGTACTCTTTTTGCGATGTTTTCGGCGTTCGCGTCGGTCATCTTCGGAAGGAGAGACAGATGCATCTGAACTTCGGGAGGGAGACCGGTGTCGATGTCTTCGTTTCTTCCGGCGTTCACGTTCATGCTCGGATTCGTCAGAAGAGGGGACTTCCCTCTCGCGAGATTTCGCTTTTGCTATCCAAATGAATGATGAATAACTGCTTCGATCACTGAACATACGATCGAACTTACCTTCCGGTTTGGATTCTTGTGGCTTGGCGCGAAGGACGAGTTCTCCACAGTTAGCAATGACCACAGGTACGGCCGGTCGGTCCTTCTCGTCCGTCGGAACTTCTGCAATCTTCTGAAAGACGTCGTATCCTCGGATGACACGTCCGAAGACAACGTGTTTTCCATTGAGATGAGGGCATTCGCGGAGGGTAATGAAAAACTGTGATCCGTTGGTATTTGGTCCCTTATTGGCCATGCAGAGAAGTCTAGTCATCGAGTGTAAGAATGAAGGAATGACAGATAAGGAAGAAGACGTACCCCTCGGAATCTAGAGGACGAGTGAGGTCTTCGTCGGGAAATGGACCGCCATATATCGATTCGCCACCCATTCCATTGCGCTTGGTGAAATCTTGAGAATGTCAATAGTGCATGCGTCTGATGATGGATAGCTAATAGCGAACCTCCGCCTTGAACCATGAAATCCTTAATGGAGCGATGGATGATACTGTTCTTGTAGTACAACGGCCGATCCGACAGCGGGGAGATACCTTTTTCTCCGGTGCATAGTGCTCTAAAGCTGAAACGCGTCGGAAGAGGATAAGTATGAAGAGCACACGAAGAATAATGGCGTAGACGTACCCACTTTTCGGCGGTCTTAGGCACAGTGTTGTTGAACAACTCAAAGATGACTCTGGAAGCCGTTAGCACTACAGCAGTATGAAAGATAATATCAGAACATACCTGCCAATGGGCTCGCCGTCGACGGTGATGTCGAAGAATACTCTGGGTCTGACCATGGTGGTTCTGGTTGAGAAGAGGAAACGCGGGCACGTGTGGATGTGCCATTCTGGGCATGGTCGCGCTTGTGTTGTAGATGCCAGCAAAGATTTTGTTCGCGATGAAATAGCCAGCCAGGGTTCCTGAAGGGTTCCTTCATGCTGCCGTCCTAGTAGGCCCTCCCCATCTCCCTCCCAGCATCCCGCCTTTGCCCTCTTTTCTTGCTATTTAATTTACATTCTTTTCCTCCAAATGGCGGACCTGGTATACGAGTACAGTGTAGTGGTCTTGGGTGGTCCGTGTTTCATCTTTTTCCCTATCTCTGAAACCCTTCACTCGTGTGTTTTGCACAGCCGGAGGCGTTGGAAAGTCTGCTCTCGTTGTACGCTATGCTCAAGGGCAGTTTCTGTCGGATTACAACCCCACGATCGAAGGTGCGCTGCTTGTCCAATGCCCGTGTCCATGTGAATGTGCTCACCATTCCCTCGGCTCCCTAGAGCAGTACCGCTGCGATGTACAGTTGGAGGGGAAAAATTGTGTCGTATGTCGCGCTGTTACCTTATTTGCATGATGTTGACCCTCTCATTTCAGCTCGACATCATGGACACAGCTGGAGCGGAGCAGTTTACCGCGCTGAACGAGGTGTACATCAAGGTACCTGTGGTTTCCTCATCGAAGGACCACCCTGCTCATCCGATACAGAGAGCGCGAGGATTTGTGCTGGTATTCAGGTACGTCCATCACTAAGTATATCTCATCTTCATACTTAACACAAAAGCTCAGTCTGACGCAGGAAAACACTCTGCAGGATATCGATAATATTCGTCAACAGATCCAGATGATCAAGGGTCAGGAAGCCGTATGTTGTCTTGACCCTTGACATGTTTGGCAGATCTTGATGTGCCGTCGCTTACTACAGAATATCCCCATCGTGGTCGTTGGCACGAAGATGGATCTTGTACGTCTTATGTGCTGTGTTCCTTGTGCGCAATCTGATGGTATTCGAGTAGGCGCGAGAACGAGAGGTTACCCGGGATACCATCAAGGAGCTTGCCTCGAAGTGGGGGCTCCCGTTCTACGAGACTTCTGCAAAGAATAACTGGCACGTTACCGACGTATTTCATGATTTGCTGGATCAGATGCGACGGAGATACCCCGACGAGCCGTTGAAAAGGCGCAAGCAGAAAAAGAAGACTCTAAAGGGTCCCAAGCACCGCTGCATTATCATGTGAAGCTCGTTTTCCTGTGTTATTTAATTTGGTAGGTTTTCTGTGTCGCCGTTATGGTCATCGCTGACAAAGATGTTTGGCAGAATCTACCCTCATGCTGTCGTGTTACTCATACACTCCTTTTACTATGCACACTTTTATCGGACTCCATTATACCTGTTTATTGGTCTAGATCACCCACGGTCGTCGCGTTTGTCTTTGCTATCGTAACTGTTCTATACACTAGCCCGTTTCATGCAGAGCTGAGCATCTGTGTTTTCCTATCTATTGTACCGTATACTAGTCGTTCATACTGGCTTGATTTCATTGTAGATAATATAATTCTTTCGCCTTTCCCACTCCTCGAAGGGCGTCCTCGGCTCCTGTGACCTGTTCCACGATGACTGCCATATATGGCTGGCTTAGGTAATCTTTGTCAGCGGGAGTGGTTTTGGGCGGGCGGGTGAGAGGCGGGGGGGCTTATTTTCTTGTTCCCTACACTCGTCTTCCCCACCTCCGCAGCCTCTCCATACCCTTAGAAACACTCTCTTCAACTAGTTTCTTTCATTTAGAAATGGTTTGTCCATTCTATGCTACTTCAAGCTGTCTTTACTCACCCTTTTCCTTACAGAGCTACGGCGGCAGTTATGGTGGTTACGGTGGTGGTTATGGTGGAGGCTACGGAGGTGGCGGAGGTGGCGGTGGATGGGGCGGCGACGACAAAATGCACAACCTCGGCGGTGGTCTTCGCAACGTTGACTGGAACACCACCAAGCTCGAGCACTTTGAGAAAAACTTTTATGTCGAGGATAAACGTGTCAGCGCCCGCAGCGATAAAGAGATCGAGGAGTTCCGGAAGATCCAGGAGATGAAGGTCAGTATATGCTAGGCGAATCTTATTGTAAGATACTCATACTCTCATTCTAGGTACAAGGTCGGAACGTCCCCAGGCCGGTGTCCTCTTTTGAGGAGGTTGGCTTCCCTGATTACATCTTGACCACGATTAAAGCACAAGGTTTCTCTGCCCCAACGCCAATCCAATGTCAGGCGTGGCCTATGGCTCTCACCGGGCGCGATGTCGTTGCGATCGCTCAGACTGGAAGTGGAAAGACCATCTCCTTCGCGCTTCCCGCAATGTTGCACATCAACGCGTAAGTTGCTTCTGTTGGTCAGCCTTCCTTTACGCGATGCTAATATCTTCTCTAGTCAACCTCTCCTCGCCCCTGGCGATGGCCCCATCGCACTCATCCTGGCTCCTACTCGTGAGCTGGCAGTTCAAATACAACAGGAATGCACCAAATTTGGGTATGTCTCCGCTTATCTCTTTGTTCGGTCTAATTCTGATTCTTGTGCAGTTCGAACTCTCGGATTCGTAACACCGCTATCTACGGTGGTGCGCCCAAGGGGCCACAGATCCGTGACCTTCAACGTGGTGTGGAGATTGTCATTGCTACCCCTGGTCGTCTCATCGATATGCTTGAGACTCAAAAGACTAACCTTCGTCGAGTGACTTATCTCGTTATGGACGAAGCTGATCGTATGTTGGATATGGGTTTTGAGCCTCAGATCAGGAAGATTGTTGGTCAGATTCGACCAGACCGTCAGACTCTCATGTTCAGCGCAACTTGGCCGAAGGACGTGCAGAAGCTCGCTAATGTGAGTCTTTACTATCGGTTTCATGTGCGCGCGGAGATTTACCTTCTAACCCATCACAGGACTTCTTGCGCGACTTTATTCAAGTAAACATCGGCTCCATGGAGCTCACTGCAAACCATAACATCCAACAGATCGTCGAAGTCTGCAGCGACTTTGAGAAGCGTTCGAAGCTCATTAAGCACCTAGACCAGATCAGTCAAGAAAACGCAAAGGTCTTGATTTTCGTTGGCACTAAGCGTGTCGCCGACGATATCACCAAGTACCTTCGTCAAGACGGATGGCCCGCTTTGGCTATCCATGGTGACAAGGAGCAACGTGAGCGTGACTGGGTTCTGGGAGAATTCAAGGCTGGTAGATCTCCCATCCTCATTGCCACCGACGTGGCATCTCGTGGACTCGGTATGTTTTTCTTCCTCATTGCAGGCGCTGCGAGCGTGAGCACGTAAGATCGTGTTCGGGACTTGGTCCGGTCAGTACGAACTGTCGTAGTGCCACATACTCACTTGTAGGTCTTTGGGTTCGTCAATGGAGCAAGACAGGCCAAGATAAGCAACGCGCACTTGAGACTTGCGGACAACCCCGGTTTTGCGCTATAGGCTCCCTCTAACCTGCACCATAGACCCCGGCTGCGTTCGCTCCTCGTCACGCTGAGTTGCGCAGCATGCTTGGGTTTGCACCTATAACATGAACTGTCTCCACTGTTCTTGGTATGGTATTGGTTATGGACTTTATGCAGCAGACACTCGGGACTCTGTGCTTCGCTACTCTCTACTCCACAGTTTGCGCGTTCAAGAACTTGCCTGTCTATAGCTCAGACGTTTTCTTCCTCAACCGCCTTCATAGTTTTTCTTTCAAGGTTGAGGTTGCCCCTCGGACTGTTGTGTGTGCTTACTATGACTTCGTTTTCCCGTGTGGATCTCGGAGCGCTTGCTTATAGCTTTCTGCGTTGTGACGATATTGACGGTATCTTCTCTCTTTCTATGATTTTCCCACTCGCTCTTCCTGCGCTGTCTTGCCTGGTTGATTGTCACTTCTTCCCTACCCGTGTCTCCAACACGCAGATGTCAAGGATGTAGGATATGTCATTGTACGTCTTGTTAGTTCCTTACTCTGCGACGGCTGGAGCTGACCATATTTTCACAGAACTATGACTTCCCGAACAACTGTGAAGACTACATTCACCGTATCGGTCGCACAGGAGTAAGTTCTTTCACTGGCTTAGTTGCTGGATATCACTAACTCAAGTCGTGTATAGCGTGCCGGAATGAAGGGTATATCGTACACTTACTTCACCACTGACAATGCCAAGTCAGCGCGTGAGTTGATTGCCATTCTTCGGGAGGCAAAGGCACATGTACCACCTCAACTCGAAGAGATGTCGATGTTCGGTGGTGGTGGCGGACGCAGTAAGTAACATGTTTTTATTCAGTCTTTTCATTTGCTTATCTTGATTCTTGCAGGTCGCTATGGCGGAGGCGGAGGCGGACGTGGCCGTGGTGGAGGTGGAGGTGGTGGGGGTGGACGCTTTGGCGGTCAAGATCATGGCTATGGCAGTAGGGGAGGTGATCGTTGGTAAACTCTCTACCACCTCTGTTCCTCGCCCTCCTTCGCATATGCTTACAATAGAGAATAAGAGTCTGGTACTCCCGGGTTTGTCGGTAGTGATGATGCATCATGATTCCCCATGGGTTCGTAGAGTTACGACTGTCTAATGTATTTTTGTCCACGCGTCTGTACTGCTATGATACATAATCGTATTCTGGACCAATTTGAGTGTTTACACACGCCTTCGAACTACCATGACCATCGCGAAGTCATCTTTGCTCATCGCGGGCTTGAATGTCAATGTGTACTCACTGGAAGACAGTGATGCGCAGAGTTCACGTCCTGTTGCCGTTTTGTTCTTGATGCATGGGCGTACAAGCTCTACTGCGGATGTTGAATGGGCTGCCGAGCAAGTGCTCAACGAGACTAGCAAGAAATATGAAAACGATTCCACACTCCACCATGATCTGCTCGTTGTGACTTTCGTGCGTACAGAATGCTTGTTCTTAATTCCTTATTTTACAATAGTGGCAAACAATGTAGGATCATCGGAACCATGGTTCTCGTTTAGTGGACGTGAAAGCAAACATTGGATGGCATGAATTTGGCAACCACAACGAACGTCATGCGTATGATGACAGTTTTTGCTTCCTTTGAAGGACAATATCTCATTTATATCTCAGCGTTGATATGTACAGCATCCAGGGTAAGACTGCTCAGATCTGAACATTAGCTCGCACGTTGGCTGAAGTTTCTGGCAGTGGGAACGTCTAGGGACATATCAACCATCATCGACTTCCTGCCTTCCTTCCTGTACCCCAACGACGAGAGATCGATCGTGCATTGGATCGCTTCTGGCGTCAGCTTGGGCGGACATTCGACATGGATTGCCCTACGCACAGGTGAACACAGTCCGTGCAGTTCTAACGTCGAGAGCTTACTTGCATTCTACCACGGTCAGAACCTCGCGTACGCGTAGGCATTCCTATCATTGGTGAGGAAACCAATGGCTGATATGCACTGCCCACTGACAACACCTGACAGGCGGGGCGGACTACGCGTCGTTGCTTTCTGAACGAGCCAAGAAGGCAGGCCTTTCGCTTGAGCCTCCGCACTTCCCCAACTCCCTACGCCCAGTCATCGAGGCGAACGACCCAGTGCGTGCATCATACGAGGCGTCAGACTCGTCAAATCCTTTTCTTGGAAAGAAGGTGTTAGCCCTTTGTGGAGGAGACGATACTTTAGTCCCTTGGTCCGCAACCGAGCCTTTCTTCCGGAAGCTTAACGTCGGGCCTGACGGCTTGAAGAAGGTTGTCGTTGCACCCGGTGTGGGCCACAGATGCACGCCCGACATGATTCACCAGATGACGGACTTCATATGGGAACAGGTGTTGACGAGCACAGTCACCAGTTCAAATCTTTAGATTGTCCATTGCCGGCTACGCAGGGCATGCATTTGTATAGAACAGAGGTTTGGTGTCGAACGAGTGCTGTTCGGTTTCACTGCCAGGTTATCCTAGCATTCAATGAAGCAAGTTGCAATGGTGAGAGGAGAGTGCATTAACATTGTCATGTACTTCACACAAATGTGGCATCCGTCGTAACATAAGTGAGAAATACATACAAAACAAAAACAGCATCCGAAAAGAAGGATGCAGACGGCGATGAGGAGAGGAAGCGATAGCGAACATGTGGCCACCAAGATCTACCAGAAAGATACATAGAATGAACCTCAGCAAGTACTTTTGGGATTCCCTTGACTTCTCTTATTACTTTTAAATCAAGCACTGGTGTCATCAACCTTGGTCTCGGCGACCTTATCCGCCAACTCCTCCACGTCATCCTGCGGTTCCTCGTCCTTTTTTCCAGCAGCAGCTTTGGCGAAGCTGAAGGAGGGTCGAATGGTAGCGTTTGCGGAAGGCACCTTGGGAGATTCTGGCTTGGGAGAGGATGGGGGAGCGCCAGAGGATGCGCGAGAGATAGGGGCGTCGCGCTGAGAGCCTGCCCGCGACGAGGTGCGGGACATTGAATGGTGACTATGACTAACCTTCTCTTTGACGATCTCGCGGCCCTTCTCAATTTTCTCCTCGACGGCCGCTTCCCTTGCAGATACATCAACGGGTCTAACATAATAAATAGTCAATTACTTGAACAGAAGGATGTAATGAGGGGAAACACACTTTGCCGCGCCGAATGGATTTGTGCGAGTGTGGCTTGTGGATGTGGATGTGGTAGCAGGATTAGGAGATGAAAGTGGGGAGGGAACAGCAGACGTGGCAGTGGAGCGTGGCAAGAGTTCGAGCTTACGGCGAGCGAGCTGAGGGGTTGGGGGAGTTGAAGCGTTGGCTGAAAAGATGGGCATTAGAACCTAGTCTCCGGAGATACAAACGGATCAAACACACGTGAAGTACTGTTTCGCGAGATTGCGTGGGGTCTTCTCCAAGTATCTTCATCGGGAGGGCTTGGAGTCTCCCTAGGTGGGCCTCCTCGAAGGCTTCCAAACCGGCTGCCGGGGGAGCGTTCTTCGGGAGGACCACTAGGCTTGAACTTGCTGCCTATCGACCAAGTCTCCTCTGAGTCAGCAGCACCAACAGGGCCAGCATCTGAGCCACGGAACCCTGACCCCCGCCGTTTGAAGGAAGGGCCCTCTTCAGGAGGAGGACCACGAGCAGGTGCTCGACTTGATCGCCAGTCACTAATGGTGTCGGCAACAGCATGGGGCGGAGGTTCACGAGAAGGGGGTCCTTCGAATCGTCCTCGCGGTCCACCACTTTCACCACGAGAAGGAAGGTCAGGAAGAGGCCCATCACGTCGCCAGTTACCTGCGAACTTTTCATCATCAAATCCACCTCCAGCACCGAAGCCAGATCGCTCCTTGGCTAGATAGGCAAGGGTAAGAAACTTCAAAAATGTAGAAAGCAGGTCAACTTACGTGGCTCGGCCACGCTCACTCGGATATTACGACCTGCAAGACTCTGCCAGAATGTCAGCTTGGAAGTGAGAACTTGGCAAATGAGACCTACAGCGCCAGACTTGGCCAAAGCCTCCTTCAAGCTATCAAGATCAATGAATTCGACATATCCGAAACCCTTCGGCCTGTCGTCCCTGTCCTTGATGATCTTCACATTTTTAACCTGATGGATCGAACCGTCAAGGATCGTTCAAGTCCTAACGTCATAGAACGCACCTTGTCAGAACCAAAAAACTCCTCAAGGTCCATGTCCGTAAGGTCAAAGACCATGTTGCCGACAAACGCGGTATATGGAGGTTCCGTGGGAAGTGGTAGATCTTCGCGAGGAGGACCGGACCTGTCAGCTAAAGGAGGGATAAGTGAACCTGGTAGGAGTGTTGCAGAACAAGTGAGCACGCACGCCTAGAGGAGAGGAAATCGTCTCTCCTGCGTTCACCTGGACGGGTGCCGTCATCGCTACGTACGGCAGCTGAGAAATCACGATAATCAACAGATGAGCGGAATGGGATTGAGAAGCGAGCAATGCTCACGAGCGGTGGGCAGAGAGTCCATTTCGTCTGCCCATGATCCTAGGGCTATCGAAAGGTAAATTACGAAGCAGGTTGGGAGGAATGGAAGTATATGCTTACTGCTGTCCCCGAGGAATTCGTTTAAAGACATTTTCTGAGCTTTCTTGGGCGCTATACGGAGCAGCGGTCAGTAAGCGTTCCATGGTGAATGAAATAGCATGGACAGACCCATATTGAAGAACTATGTCGCGGGATACGAGATGAAAGCGGGGCGTGGACAGTGATAGTCTGTCTGACAGCTGCACTTGACCTGCTCTCGCCCAAATTTCTCAAAATGGCCACCAGCGTCTCTCCCGCCTTCTCACGCTGCTCAGCGCCGCCAAGCACTTGCTCACTGTGTACCGCGACGACGACGACAACTATGATTCTCCTCGAGGTAGTATATTCTTCAACTTGTATACATGGTCGGTGTTAATGCTTCGTATAGCCTCACAACTATATTATTCAAACGACTCTTGCCGAGAAATGCATCAAGTCAGTTTCCGGGATGGCATAGATCCAGACCAAGTATTGACCCTTGTACAGACCGAGCACTCTCGATGTCCAATTCGTCGACTTTGATGGCGTACGGTTTCATCTCTCGTCTACGGATCGCAAGACTTCTCTTCTGCTGTCGATGAGCATTCGGTGCTGGGATGAGCTTGTCAACTATGGCGTGAACGATGTCCTCAAGCGCGAGTACGGAGCGATGGTCAGGGCAGAGCCAGAACCAGAGTATAACGTCAGTCTAGATATTGACTTGGAACAAGTCCCCCCTGAGGGTGGTGAGTCTGTCGCTGTGTCTCCCTTTGTACTCTAACCATCCACGGCCAGAGGAACGCGATGCTCTCATCAAGTCTATCGCGTTAATCAAGCGCAATGTCCTTGCTGCCCCTTTCGAGCTCGCGTTTCAAACACAGAAGCAACTGGAGGCGTCAGGATCTGGTCAGGGCGATCTTATGGCCATGCATTATCGAGACGAAGAGGCGATCTATGTGCAAGCTTCACCGGATCGAGTTACCGTCATCTTCTCTACCGTCTTCAAGGAGGAGACCGACCGCATATTTGGTAAGGTCTTCCTCCAGGTACGTTTTGCTGCTTTGCACTTGTCCGTCACCTGGTCTTACCAATTGAACTCAGGAATTCGTTGATGCTCGTCGTCTGCCAACTATTCAAAGCGCTCCTCAAGTCCTCTATACAACGCGAGAGCCACCTCTGGAGATTCGCCATGTCCCTGGCCTGATTGATTCTGACGACGTCGGTTATGTCACATTCGTCCTATTCCCTCGTCACTTCATCAACCCTGAAGTTGCGTCCGCAACGATCAGTCACATCCAGCTTTTCCGTGACTACCTTCATTACCACATCAAGTGCTCCAAAGCATACATGCACTCCAGGATGCGCCACCGCGTGACCGAGTTCCAGAAGGTGCTGAACAGAGCCAAGACGGAAGTTGCAGTCACGGATAGGAAAACAGCGAGGTACGCTCACCACCATCATGTTTCAAACTCCTTTGTTAATTCACTCTGCCGAAACAGTGGTCGGTCGATGATCCGGTAGGACTTGATAGATTTGTACTATATTCACTTGGAGCAGTTTTATAATGGAATACCTTCGCAGTCTGACATAGGAATGCCTTAGATTACGCCGAGGGGGTGGGACGGTTGTCACGAGTGAGTTCTAAAGCTGCGAAACGGTCGTTACGACGAGTGCACGAATCCGTGGACGTACTCTTGGCATCTGAAGCCCGGTCGAAATCGCACATGTTAAAAACGGCCAGAAACCGCGCGAGTTTTAAGAGTTATTTTTGCTGCTGGAGACATGATTTCTGGACTGCAGCGTTGCACGAAAGTGGTTCAAACTCGTTCAGATGGATGCTCTATACATCTTACAGCCCGCTGAAAGCCGCTCTAAACTACGGTCCCAATGCAAGCTATATTTTGCCGTTCGCACCCCTCCTATACCAGTGTCCCCATAAGGGACGTCCGTAGAGTCTGCAGCTAGGGTAAATACATAGTAACCAAGTAAGTCGACCATGTAAATGACAATGGATGAAAAAAATACGAACCAAGTAAACCTCCGCTCGCAATCCAAAACACTAAGTCCGAACGCCTGCAAGTTGCTTCGTTTCGCCCTTTACTTGCTTCAGCTCGCGTTCGCGTGCTTCGAATTCCTAGATAGTCATAAAACAATGAGTCGAAATATGTATAGAGTTGACGATAGAACAAACCTTTCGTTTGGCTTGATCAATGTTCCGCCTGACCTCATTGAATTCAGCTGTTGTGACCCGCTTGTTCTCCGGTTTCGCCATGAAGTCCCTGTCGAAGATGTTCCTGAGAATGATATAATGAGTAAGGCAAAACGAATCATGGTGTTGAGTAGCGTACCTCGCAGTATGGGGCTTGCCAGATCGGAACGGCCGTACTGGTTTGTTCTTGGTGCCGTCAGTCACTTGCTGTGTATTTGATTATCGTGTGGCTTACGATGTTGCCTGAGAGTGCATCATAGTGGTAGGTGCGGATGTCGTTTGCGATGTTCTGTAGGATTCGATATCAACCGATGTCGGAATGGATCGAGCGAGTGCCGCTATTAATTCCAAGTTGGTCAGTACTACTAGCGCATGGATGAGTGAAACAACTGACCTCGTTCAGTTTCCTGACGTTTGTGCTGTATATCGTCCCTGTCATAGCGCTGTAAGTGTCGGAATGAGCAATAGTGGCTTTCAGAATACGTACAGTGGATTCTTGAACTAAATAATCAGAGAGTGCGGATTTCTCAGTTGATTATAGGAGTGAGAAAAGAGTAGTCATACCTTGCGTTTCGTCGTCGAGGTAAGTGAGGCAAGTGAACCTGATGATATTCGCTCTTGCACGTCTAGCGACGGCGATGCCTCAGCTATCCCCGAACAAACCCAGACAAGATCAATGAGTTATCATACAAGGAAGCTGCGTTGTGAAACCGTTACTTACGCGGAATCGAGACAGATGTCCGAGTAGTCCCTAACTCCATGTGAGTATGTTGTCCAGGTGATTTACAGGTACCTGATGTAGAGCGTGTGCGATCCGAGTCTATAACATGAGGCTTCTTTGTCAGTAGTGTTGAAGAATTAGAATGCAGCGATAAAGCAGGTGTTTCGTTGTTATGAGTAAGAACCGCTGACACTTCGGATGAAGTAGTAGGGCAAGTTTGAGCGGAAAAAGTGGGTGCCAGTGAACTGGAAGATGCGGTACCCTCTGAGGTGCGATTGGGTGAGTCGGTAGACAAAGAAACAATAGTAGTCGATGGCATTGTAGAGGAACTCATAGAGGGAGAGATTTGCGGCGAATCACTTGTTGACGAAATTATAGCAGAACCAGATGGCATTGTAGAAGAGTCAGATGAAGCTGTAGAAGAGCCAGAAAGAGCCGCAGAGAAGCCAGACGGAGGAGTAGAAGATCCAAGGGATGTTGCAGAGGCCGAGGACTCATTAGCAGAGGGGGTGATGGAAGAAACGCCAGAGGCTGGTATGGCATTTTGTATCGTATCTGACAGGCTTTCAGCGTCGAGTGCCACACGGACTAACCGCGGGGTACTCTCTTGAGGAGTTGACGTCGCACTCAGTAGTGTTGCGACTCCAAGTCTGGCATGAAGGTTTGTCCTGGGCTGTCATGTATTCAGATTGCTAAAGTGGACTTAGACCCAAACCGGCCATCTAGGGCTGAATTGGCGCACCTGTGTGAGGTGCATATTTTCCCGAAGGACAAAATTGTGAAGGGTGAGTAATGTTTCATTGTGATGCCTTTAGTACCATAACCAGAGTGATAACTCTGTGCACTTGGGAACAGACTACATACACTGTTCTTCAGCCCCATCGCAATTCATCGCCTTGGGCGAGACCTAAGCTTCTGTAAGTGGTGTGTATGTTGATGCTCTGAGACAGACATGCTGAGTGAAGTGGAAATTGTAGGCATTGCTGTTGCAAAGGTGATCGCGATTACGAGGGCATTGCGACCAATGGTGCGGGCTTTGGAACAGCTTGACGAGGCATGCACGGCTCATATCGATGATGACCATCCCCTTGATATAAGGGTATGGGGAATCGTGGAGAGAGCAGAGCATGCTGCAGTCCTTGGAAGTGAGATTGCTGGTTACATGGAAAAAGATCTGCGATTGGTGTTGAGCAAGATATCATATGGGGATATGTTGCTTGAGTATGCAGAACATCGTCTACGGAAATTCAAGATGATGGCGGATGATGTTCGTCCTCGCTTTTTCATACTGTTGACTCTTCTCGATCGCGCGCAGTTCACCATGGTACCCTTGCTGCAGTAGGATGTATAGTACGATGTATGGACATGTCGATGTACGTCATTCAGGGGACCTCCCGTTGCTGAAAAAGAGAGAAGCAGAGCAAGATGACAGTTCTCGATAGGGCCTCAGTTTGGAGTGGAGAGCAGCATTAATGAGAGCTATGCAGGTGAATGAATGATGGCTGAAAAGAATACGGAGACGTAATCTGCATGCAGAGTTGGACCGGCCAGGGGAAATAGCAGCATGAGTGATGTAGGGACAGTGGGAATGTTGATGGTGTTGAGAAGATGGAGGATGTTAGGGATGCAGCTGAGAGTGGCATGCAATTGTAGATTGAAGCACAGATACAGAGGAAGATGCGAACATTGTCAGACAGGATGGAATGTTGGGTTAGGGTTAGGTTAGGTTAGGTGGGGAGAAACACACGAGCGAAGCGAGTGTCCGCGGAAAAGGAAGAGGAGCTGTCAGCGAAAGCAGACAACAGTGCTGGGGGATTCCCAACAACACCTGTTTCGCCTTTATACGGCTCATCAGGTCTGCTTAGTAACACAGGGATCGGAGAATTAGTCACCAAAGTCCGAAGAAATCGGTGATTAATCATCCAAACCAACTTCCCCGACGAGGCCGAAGGCCGAGATCGGGGAATGTGTCAGCCAAGAAGATCCGAAGATCCGCCGAAAGGCGACACACGTGCAAGAGAAGCCGGAAGCACCGCACCGAGAGCCGGGCGACCGGGGTAACCGAGATCACCAAGAACACCGAAGTGCCCGAGATGACCGGGGTGACCGAGAAGGCCGAGCGCCGACGGATAACCGAGAGAAAACACGTGACTTACTTAGGGTCCGGTTAGGGTTCGCAGTTAGGGTTCGGGGTTCGGGTTTGGCTTAGGCTTAGGGTTAGCTAAGTTTCGTTAGGTTAGGTTAGGTTAGGGTTAGGGTTAGGTTAGGGTTAGGTTAGGGTTAGGTTAGGTTAGGGTTAGGTTAGGTTAGGGTTAGGTTAGGGTTAGGGTTAGGTTAGGTTAGGTTAGGTTAGGTTAGGTTAGGGTTAGGTTAGGGTTAGGTTAGGGTTAGGTTAGGTTAGGTTAGGTTAGGGTTAGGTT